ATGGCCGAAAGTCTAAGTCAATTTCGGCCGAAACCGAAGAAAAACCGAAAGTTAACTTTTCTCTTTCGGCCGAAACCGAAATTAAGCCGAAAGTTAACTTTCCAGTTTCGGCCGAAACCGAAACTTGGCCGAAAGGGATAAAATGGCCACTTTCGGCGCTGAAACCGAAGCCGAAGCCGAAATTCGGTCGGCCTCTACTTTTAAGATAAGAACCCAATGACGGCCTTGAGCTGGTAAGACAGAACCCGATGATTGCCTTGACGGTGAGCTGGCAAGACAGAACCCAATGATGGCCTTGACGGTGAGCTGGTAAGATAGAACCCAATGATTGCCTTGAGCTGGTAAGCCAGAACCCAATGATTGCCTTGACGGTAAGCTGGGAAGACAGAACCCCATGATTGCCTTGAGCTGGTAAGACAGAACCCGATGAATGCCTTGACGGTGAGCTGATAAGACAGAACCCAATGATTGCCTTGATGGTGAGCTGGTAGCTCATCTTCTAATGGAAGTTTCAACCTGCAAGTCAGTTATTTCTGTACATTCCGATACAATGAAGCAACTCCGAAAAACAACGCTTTAACGTATAAATCCTTTATAAAATATAATATCGAGCAAGGGGGTGGGGCTGAACATTTCACATGCGTTCAAGGAACGCACTTTATACCAATCCCAATGAGTGCCCCCCCCCCACCCCCGGGTCGTAACCACACATTTTTTTCACGCCCTTTAACTATATTAATATTCTAATGACCCACCCACTTATATACTGCACAAAAATTTTAGAAAAAAAAAAAAGAAAATATTACGCACCAAACGCACTTGCGATTCATTCTTTAAGAATCTCATTTAGCGCAGTTATCGGGAATTAAATCTGCCCCCCCCCCCACACACTTTTTGAAAACCAGGAAAAACTGATTTTTGGGGGTTGGAGCTGAACATTTGATGAAACATGTCATCGGCAACAAGTCCATGTGTTTTCTCTTCACAATAGGCTTTGTCATTTCTCAGACCGGAAAACGTCATGGTGTACTATTTTTAGAAGGTCGGCGGACAAATATTGCTTAAAACCTGGCAGCTTATAGTGCGTTTCAGCATAGCGTTGGGACGATCCTTGTATCTAGAGTTTCTGTTACATATGCCGTTCACGCAATGGAGTCTCATTTCAGAAAATAGAATTTTAAAAAAAAATGTGTAAAATATTTCGTAAAATAGAATTGTAAACAATTTTCAGGGACACTCCGCTAACATAGTAATACTGAACAGTGTTGACATTTTGTCCGCGCTGAGTACCCGTATGATGAGTAATGATGAAATCAGTTCTATTAATAGATTTCCACCATTAAATGACAAGACCTATTAAGACAAAATACAAGTTTGGAAAATTTTGTCGATTAAGCATTGCATGGGTCTCTAATTAAAAATGACTGCTGGTATTTAGCATCTCTGCCATTGCTGCATTGCTGGTTTGTAGGTATGAAAGTATTTAAGTTTGGTGTCAATTTAATGGCTAATGTTTTTTAGTTATATTTCTACACCCCCCACCAAGCCACCCACCCACCCACCCACCAAGCCACATTGCATTGTTCCGCGACTGCACCAAGTCACGTGAGTATGTAAAGTTTAGACTTTGGAAAAGATAACACGTGCCTGGCTGTTCAAAGTTCCGTGTTGAATAACTACACCACGTGACGTCAGACAAGTCACTTGAGTCAACTGCAAAACAAACCGTGGGGCACAGGCCACAGATCACCTGTTGTTCCATGTTACACATTGCCTGTTTAACGTGTGACATAGCGATGTGTAAATATGGTACACATTGGCTGTTTAACGTGTGACATAGCGATGTGTAAATATGGTACACATTGCCTGTTTAACGTGTGACATAGCGATGTGTAAATACGGCACACATTGGCTGTTTAACGTGTGACATAGCGATGTGTAAATACGGCACACATTGGCTGTTTAACGTGTGACATAGCGATGTGTAAATACGGTACATTTTGCCTGTTGCCCTGTCATTTATTGTGTCGTCACATATCAGTATCCACTTAATCAAGGATACATTGTAGAACATGTAAACTAAAGATGTCCCTATCCTTAAAGCTACTGGCTTATATCAGGAGTAGTGGGATCTGTCCCCCTCTACATTTTTTCCTCTAAACTAAAAGAATACAATAAAAGGATTTAAAAAAAAAATATATATATCCTCATTTATCATTATGGTCTGTTACTCCACATTCCAGCCCCCCCCCAACATTCCAGCCCCCCCTAACATTCCAGGCCCCCCCCCAACAAAACAAACAAACAAACAAAACAACAAACAAACAATTTTAAAAGCACAGCGGAGAACCCTCACGGTTTTTTTTTCCAATCTGAGAATTTTCTTTTCAAATACGCCACTGCCCAGTCCGCCACTGCCCAGTCCACCACTGCCCAGTCTGCCACTGCCCAGTCCGCCACTGCCCAGTCTGCCACTGCCCAGTCCGCCACTGCCCAGTCTGCCACTGCCCAGTCTGCCACTGCGTATTAATGTTCATAGTGCAACAGATCTTTGCTCACAGAANGGAAATCTCAGGGAAGGTGGAACGCAATACTCTCATCAATTGTCCATGCTTGTCTGTTTCTCCATTGACCTCCCTGAGCTTAGCCTTGAGTTTAGAATTGCACTAACGATCAATCACCTCCATTTGAAGCGCAAAAACAAAAAAAAAAGTTGGGGGGGGGGGAGGGAGAAATCTTCGACATTGAATAAAAGAGTGTCGGCAAACATTTGAAAAGTGGCTCTGTGTGTTTTGAATTCTGCAAACGTGATCAAATTCTTCCTGCAGCTTTGAAATGGCATGAGTACGTTGCATGTTGGAAAATGGCAGAGTTTTCTCTGAGAACCATAACATAAGATTTGTGCAGTATGCCCTGACATTGTCATAGGCAACACTGGCAAGCTGCCTCTGGTCTTGTAACCTCTTGTTGAGGACATTCAGCTCCTGTGTAAAGCCAAGTCCATAAACCATTTGGGATCACTTAGTATAGGAACATGAAGACTTTGAAGACTAAAACGTGATCAAACAGTAGGCAGGAGCCTTATGCGTTATTGATGCGAAGGAAGATGCTCTTGTAGACAGAATAAATTTCGATTTTTAAATCGTAGAAAAGGCCTTTTTGACTAACCCTATTTGGAAAGTGACCAATCTGACAGGGTCGGAACTTCCCTCATTCGTTAACACTAGGGACAATTTTAATAGGGATGCTTTGATAATGTGTCATATTGCTACGATATACACAACTATGGTTGTACCTTACCCACTAACAAACTTTTTCAACTTTGTTGAGAACTGGACTTAGGCCATGTTTCTCTCATTAAATGCTATAAAATGAAAACTTTTATTCCAATTTTAAAACGGTTTTTACCATTATGATCAACGTCCAAATCTCTACAAACATAATAACAATCAGAACTGGACCAGTCGGTGAGGATCGACTGAAAACGTCACGCGGGCCGCACTAACACTAAACTTTACTGTCATGTAGCGAGCCGCAAAATATTGTCTTGCGGGCCAGCTGTTTATTTGATTGCTGTATTCACTATCCCAGCTGTTTAAACACGTCTAGCATTATCCCAGTTTATACGGTTGGACGTCGTCATGTGGTCAGCGGAAATTGGCAGCACAACTCATCATTGATGCACAGCCCAAACGGAACAAGTTCACCTTGACCTTGCTGGCAGGCGATCTTTTCCTTGACGCATTTAGATTTCCTGTTGTATCCTTCACAAGCTGAAAATAAGGGAGAGAAGCTGACTGTTATTTTATGGAGATAAGCAGACGTCAAAACGGAATGTGAAATTTGCATAGTTTCTGCTCTCATCTTAAGAGGAACTAAAAAATACTGTCGAAATATCTAGACCACATACGTGTGTTAGGCTTACGGAAAATAGATGCATTGAATTAGTCAATCTGTACAGTTGTATATCTGCCAAGTCGTATGTCTAACAAGTTGCATGTATGCTAAGCTGTCTGACTGTTTGCAAAGCTGTCTGTCTGTTTGCAAAGCTGTCTGCCTGCCACGTTGTAAGTCTGCCAAGCTGTCTGCCCGTCATGGTACAAGTCTGTCTGCCAAGATGAACGTCTGTTCAGCTTTCTGTCTGTATGTTCACCAAGCTGTCTGTCTGCTTACCTGTATGTCTTCACATAATTTTTTGCCTCCGTAAATGTCAGTCTACCTCGCTGTCAGTCTGCCTAGTTTCATTCTGTCACGCTGTCTTGTCAACAAGCAGCATACTAAGCCTGTCATTTCAAAAATCACATATGATATTTTCTTTTGTTTAAAGCCCAATCTCTGTCATGTCAGTGCCAAAGGTAAGATAATTCACATTCGTAGGGGCATTTGTCAAAGTTAAGATAATTCTCATGTGTAGGGGCAGTTGTCAAAGGTACGATGACTCACGTGTGTAGTGACAGTTGTCAAGGGTAAGATAACTCACGTGTGTAGGGACAGTTGTCAAGGGTAAGATAACTCACAAGTGTAGTGACAGTTGCTAAAGTTAAGATAACTCACATGTGTAGTGACAGTTGTTAAAGATAAGATAATTCACACGTGTAGTGTCAGTTGTCAAAGGTAAGATAACTCACGTGTGTATTGACAGTTGTCAAATGTAAGATAACTCACGTGTGTAGTTACAGTTGTCAAATGTAAGATAACTCACGTGTGTAGTGACAGTTGTCAAAGGTAAGATAACTCACGTGTGTAGTGACAGTTGTCAAAGGTAAGATAACTCACACGTGTAGTGACAGTTTTCAAAGGTAAGATAACTCACGTGTGTTTTGACAATTGCCAAAGGTAAGATAACTCACGTGTGTAGGGACAATTGCCGGCGTCCGGCTGTGACATCATAGACCAGATGGAGAAACACTTAACGGGAGGGGGTTGGTCGGCGCCCCGCACCAGGCACCCCGTGGAGACAAAGTCACAGCGTAACTTCTCACACCTTCGGTGCTGGAGTCTCTCTGGTTGAGAACCGTAGAACACTGCGACATCTGGACAGCTGTTGACTGAGTCAAGTCCAGTTGGTGAACCGAGGCCATTACTTGACAAGAATGTTGTATAACATTATCGTATATATGTGGTCATTGATGGACAAAATGGCTCTATAAAATGTTTCAGTGAAGTAGCAAAGCAAGGGTTAGGGCCTGCCTACGGCAGGACATGACTTTTGCCACATCCAAGTCAAAAATACAAAATTCTGCAGATGGCCGGAAATGCTTTCCCTCCATATATAAGTAGGTGTCCTGGTAAACAAAAGCTAATAAAATAAATAATATTTTGATCGTATCTGTCGTAAATGCAGGTTGACATGTTTAAATATCATTCACGTTTATCGTTTAACTTAAATGCACGCATGCGTAGACTTTGATGACAAATTCTAGTCTTAAAAAGGCCGCGGATAGATTTCATTTTTCCATTTCGCATCTTTCTACACAGTCTTTGATGAAAATTGGAAAGATATTCAAATGATTTATTAACAGTAGGTTTTGAATGGTTAGTTCCGGTAGTTAGTTCATGTGGTTAGTGCCGATGGTTAGTGCCTGTGGTTAGTTCCGGTGGTTATTGCCGATGGTTATTGCCGATGGTTAGTGCTGGTGGTTAGTTCCGGTGGTTAGTTCCGGTGGTTAGTTCCGGTGGTTAGTTCCGGTGGTTAGTTCCGGTAGTTAGTTCCGGTGGTTAGTGCTGATGGTTAGTGCCGATGGTTAGTGCCGTTGGTTAGTGCCGATGGTTAGTTCCGGTGGTTAGTGCCGGTGGTTAGTTCCGGTGGTTAGTGCCGATGGTTAGTGCCGGTGGTTAGTGCCGGTGGTTAGTTCCGGTGGTTAGTGCTGGTGGTTGGTTCGGTGGTTAGTTTCAGTGGTTAGTGCCGGTGGTTAGTGCCGATGGTTATTGCCGATGGTTAGTGCTGGTGGTTAGTTCCGGTGGTTAGTTCCGGTAGTTAGTTCCGGTGGTTAGTTCCGGTAGTTAGTTCCGGTGGTTTTTGCCGTTGGTTAGTGCCGATGGTTAGTTCCGGTGGTTAGTGCCGGTGGTTAGTTCCGGTGGTTAGTTCCGGTGGTTAGTTCCGGTGGTTAGTGCCGGTGGTTAGTTCCGGTGGTTAGTGCCGGTGGTTACCTCCGGTGGTTAGTGCCGGTGGTTAGTGCCTGTGGTTAGTCCAGGTGGTTAGTGCCGATGGTTTATTGCGTTGTTGTGTGAGAGCTCATTGTAAAATAATGGTGTCAATGTAAATGCTACAATAGCGCGGAGAATAAAAATGCCAAATAATTAACATTGAAATTCAATGCTTGCTTCTCTGCCTGTACACGAAATACAGTATTTACCTGTTGAGGGTTCTCATCTCCTGACGGGCTCGACACCTTTCAGCTGCTGAAATGCTCCACACCCCACGAACACTTGTAAAGCACCCCACCAAAGTCAACACCAGAACCGCCATGAACCGCTGAACTTGTAAAGTCATTATTTACTGCAAGGATATATAAAGTTAACTCACCAACTAGACAAACATAGAACTAACTCACTAACTAGACAAACAACGAACTAATTCACCAACTAGACAAACATAGAACTAACTTACCAACTAGACAAACATAGAACTAATTCACCAACTAGACAAACATAGAACTAATTCACCAACTAGACAAACATATAACTAATTCACCAACTAGACAAACATAGAACTAACTCACCAACTATACAAAAATAGAACTAACTCACCAACTAGACAAACATACAACTAACTCACTAACTAGACAAACAACGAACTAACTCACCAACTAGAAAAACATAGAACCAACTCACCAACAAGACAAACATAGAACCAACTCACCAACCAGACAAACATAAAACCAACTCACCAACTAGACAAACATAGAACTAACTCACCAACTATACAAAAATAGAACTAACTCACCAACTAGACAAACATACAACTAACTCACTAACTAGACAAACAACGAACCAACTCACCAACCAGACAAACATAGAACCAACTCACCAACCAGACAAACATAGAACCAACTCACCAACCAGACAAACATAAAACCAACTCACCAACCAGACAAACATAGAACCAACTCACCAACCAGACAAACATAGAACCAACTCACCATCTCAAAACATCAAAAAACTAACTCACCGCACTGGTAAAGAAAAAAGGAGACCAATTAAAAGTCTTGATTCCCAAGGGGCAATGTTCCTATTTGCACCACCAACAACAAGACCACGTGATCACAGTCATTAACGAAATCAACACTAGGTACGCCCCGCAATCGTCCTGTCACATCCGGTTGTTTGGAGACAGACGTAGAAACTGTTGTGAGCGTGACCATAAAGCGTGCAGGTTCTGTCAGTAAGTCTCTTCTTATGCGTGGACCACTCTGTCAAAGTTATTTGCATCCTGAACTTGCCTATCTTTACTCATGTCAACAGCAATAAATAATGAAGTTAACAATTTAAAATACGTAATCTACCGGCACAAATATTTGTGACAATTTAACATATCCACATTTTTTTGCAGCACAAATGTCTGTGAAAATTTAACATATCCACGTTTTATGCAGCAACAATATCTGTGACAATTTAACACATCCAAGTTTCCTGCAGCACGAATATCTGTGAACATTTAACATATACACGTTTCCTGCAGCACACATCTCAGTGGCAATTTAACATATCCACTGTTTCTTGCAGCACAAATCTCAGTGGCAATTTAACATATCCACTGTTTCTTGCAGTACAAATCTCAGTGGCAATTTAACATATCCACTGTTTCTTGCAGCACAAATCTCAGTGGCAATTTAACATATCCACTGTTTCTTGCAGTACAAATCTCAGTGGCAATTAAACATATCCACTGTTTCTTGCAGCACAAATATTCGTGACAATTTGAGAAAATGAAATTTAAGATAAACTCCCCTCAAAATCTCATGACGAAATCCGACTCAACCAATCACCACATTCAGTCCTGTTTGGGGGAAGGGCCAAGGATACAGAAAAAACCTGTAGTATTTAATAGTTTAGTTTTGTAACATTTCAAGTGTTCAGCTGGCGTGGTAAAGAAGTTCAGGTAAGGGGCCGAGAATATTTTAATTAAAATCCGACATGCTTCATGTAGCCCCAACTCTCACTCTAAGCAGATGACGAAGGTAGGACTTTTTATCTTCTTCCCTAGTCGCTCCCATTCGGCTCTTTTGCAGTCCCCTCCCCTGGCTCTCTCCCCTATACCTCCCCTGGCATCTCTCCCCTGGCATTCCACCCCTGGCACCCCTCCCCACCCCCATTGACCAGCTCACTAACTTGATGACTTGACGGATAGTTTCTAGCATTTTAAGACACCATAGATGTCTACAAGTTTGAAGACAATCTTCACCCCCTCCCTCTCAAAAAAAAAAAAAAAAATCATTAAAAAGTAAGAACATTTATTACACTGAAAAATGAGCCAAGTCGGCTCCAGGAACCCCCTGAAAGGGTCCCTGACATGAGAGTTTCTTCTTTTGAGTGGTGGGGAGAGGATGGGTCTTTGCCTACAGTATAAAAACAACCTGGGTCTTACAATAATTTCTTAACAAACCAAAAATGCTTAATTTTTTTGGTAAAGTTGGAGCAACATTCACCCCCCCCCCCCCCCCCATTTCCCAACTCTGAATCCGCCGATGATAACTCGTGATAAACTCGTGAAGTGTTGCACCCAGTGGTCTCCTTTCCCGCTCCGCCTTCATTAGCACAGTAGACGTGAGCAGGGGCGAGATTAGAGCCCTCTGACAGGACCTCATGTCATTTATCATGTCAGAAACTGACAACAGTGATGACCTTTGACCTCTGGGACAAGTCGGCTCACAAACTGACATAAATTCTTTAGGAAATTTAGCTCCCTTTAAAATTAGGGACATTTCAGAGTATTCCCCATCCCTATAGTGGGCGTCTCACGATACAACAGACACATACAACATTCTGAACAATGAGACAATCACATACAACATTCTGAACAATGAGACAGTCACATACAACATTCTGAACAATGAGACAGTCACATACAACATTCTGAACAATGAGACAGTCACATGCAACATTCTGAACAATGAGACAGTCATATACAACATTATGAATGACAAGACAGTCACATGCAACATTCTGAACCATGAGACAGTCACATACAACATTCTGAACAACTATGGGCTTAGCCTGTCCTTGTACAGCTGTTCTGGAACTATGGGCTCAGACTTTGACTTGTACAGCTGTTCTGAAACTATTGGCTAAGACCTTGACACTATGAGCTAAGACTTTGACTTGTACAGCTGTTCTGAAACTATGGGCTAAGACTTTGACTTGTACAGCTGTTCTGAAACTATGGGCTAAGCCTTTCCTTGTACATGCAGCTGTTTTGATAACTATGAGCAAAGACTTTCCATGTACAACTATTCTGAAAGTATGAGCAAAGACTTTCCTTGTACAACTGTTCTACCCGTATTAATACCCATATTTATTCCCGTATTTTTACCCTTTTTACACTCGTATCTATATATTTTAGACCTTTTTGACCTGTATTTATACCTCTATTGACAACCTTTTATTTACTCGCAATTATAATCTCATTGATACCATTATTTATACTCGTATAAATAACCTTATTTATTCCTGTAATTTATTCCTTTTTATACCCGTACCCGGTATCTATATATTTATACCTTTTACCTGTATTTAAACCCCTTTTGGCATCTTTACTTATACCTGTATTAATACCCCTATTTATACTCGTATTTATGCTCTTATTTATGCACTGATTTATACCCTTTTTATACCAGTATTCACAAATGATCAATGGCTACAGTTGTGCTACAGTTGTGCTACAGTTGTTCGGATCACATTGAACATCTTAAAAGCTTGATAATGTGTTATTAAATCGAACTTTTTTTTTGAGGTGAATCTGTTGGCCAGGTAAACCCAGAGTTTAAACAGTGGAGCCCACAACCAACCTTCAACCGTTTACACTCTCCCAGAACCTATTAAAGACGCCTATAATTCTTTATATTGGAACCGATTACTTACTTGTTTGAGACTCCCTTGCAGGGTATCTTTAGCTTTATGTTTGAATACCGGTAATTTAAATGATTGGGTGTTTTCCTCTATGAGTGAGCCACCTGACAAAAATTCAAACAGCTGGTGGTTTTTCACCGGGGTAAATTAACGCTGAACTACTTATCAGGGGAGCAGATGTCAATGTCCGACACGTGTTGGTTCGTGTTACACCATGATGTTATATTTTGGGAGGATGCTGAGAACCATGGTGACGTACACCATGTGAGGCGGGAGGTGGCGGGTGTCGCAATCCCAATAGATGCTATCTTGAAACTTACCGAAACAATTCCCCCCCCCCCCCAAACCGAAAACCACAACAAAAA